CTCTTCAGGATTTCAGGTGGGGGCTTCCCCAGCCCATGTGGAGATGTCAGGCGTTGAACCTGGGACCTTCTGCATGCAAAGCAGGTGCTCAGCTACTGACCTCTAGCTCCAGCCAAGAAGATGAGCATGCAAAGCTGCATTCTACTGAGTCAGACTGCTGGTCCATCTTCTAGTCCGGGACTGTCTGATCTGCAGCAGCTCATCAAGTCCTAAGGAAGGCATCTTTCCTTGCCTTGCAATATAGTATTCTTACAAAACGCCAGGAATTGATCCAGGGACTTTTTCTGTGCAAACTTAGTTGGGTGGGACCATCTATTTCTAGTTGCTAAACACTGAAGGTCCCACCTAAAACACAATTAATAACCTGCTTCCCACAGAGTGGAAGGTTTGAGTAGAGCTCAGGTACTACAAAGTGGAAATTAAAACAAAAACACCACCTCATTTAAAGCACAACTACAGACGAGTGCCCTGGATTCTCATCCAGGCTGCAGCTACAGAGAGTGGAAGAAAGAGGGAAATTCACCTGCCACCAAGGGAACGCCAAGCAAACAATGCTGTTAAAGCCTTTTCCAAGATACATGCACTTATTATTATTACAACAAATGCATGGCACTATTGTTTTTGTCCCTGCAGCGCACACACACACATACATTCTGTCTGGGATAGCAGGATAAGGCCTCCAGACCAGATGGTTTGACATCTTCAGTGCAGTTCAGAAATCAATATAGTTGCATTGTTTCCTGTCACATGTAATCTTTATTGTAAATTGCAAATGCACACCTTCACACTTACATGGATGAAGTGACAACAGACCATGACCCCACTGTCCAAACTGCCTTACCGCAAGAGCAAGGCCCTTCAGGTGCTGCTGCACTCGAACTCGCATCAGCTCCAGCTACCATGGCCAACGGCTGGTGATGGGAGTTGTAGCCCAGTATCAGGGCCTGGGCAGAGGAGGAAAGGTGGAGGCTGCCTCCCCATCCTGACCCTTCCAGGGAGGAGGAAGAGGAAGACAGTTTTGATTTACAACAGGGGGTTGACGGAGGTCGCAGCTCAGAGGCAGATGAGGGGGAAAGTTGAGAAATAATGGGAGAGGAGGAGGAGAAAGCAGCTGACGGACACAGTGTCTTTAGAAAGCATTCCAGACCCCCTTCTCCCAGAACCCGGCAAGCCTGAAAGTAGGAGAGCAAAGAGCTCAAAGACAGGGGACGTAGCAGCACCCGTGGAGGAGACGAATGAGGAAGTGGGAGAGAGGGAGGTAGAGATTCACTCGGGACAACACCATCATCCAAAAGGCTGGGTTCTATAGCCTCGCTCTGTAGATACTGAATAAAAATAGGACGGTAAGAAACATTCCCTTGGCTTTGTACGTTCCTGGGCAACCAGCCGGGAGTTGTTGGCAGCAGCCTGACACCCAGCAGCATCAAAGGAGATGCAGGTTTGTCACCCCTGCCTTCCAGGCTGAGGCTCCATCAATCTTTTTGCTTTTCAGTCTCTAGTGCTGCCCCTTCTTTCCTTTTGTCCACCACTTCACAGCAATTTCCTTTAACAAATATTTAGCATGGCAAGATACAACAATTATTCGGATAAGACACCTACTCTTCAGTGGCTACTGCAAGCAAACAGGTTCTGTAAGTAATTTATTTATCCTGATCCAAAAAGAGATAGCAAGTCTAATCAAAATCCGGAACATCAATTACAAAGCTCCCAAATCAAACAGAAGAAGACGCCTTCACCCCTGTCTGGCTCCCCTTTATCACATACACAGCCCAACAAGACAATGACAATAATCCACCAACAGCATACAAATCAATATGGCTAACCTGATCCAAAACACCCACCCACCCCACTCACACACGAAAACAAAGATCACCACAGCCAATCACACCCTAGGCCAACCCCAACCTCTCTCACCACCAAAGGAACACAAGTAACGCTGACACCAAACTCTACATACATTAAGCATAATAGAAACATCGCCACCCGACCCCACCCCCATCCATCTTCCCTCCCCCCACTCCCCCTTTCTTTTTCCTTTCTTTCTTTTTTTTTTCTTCTCCCCCTAATGCCTCAACAAATGAAATGGATTTGTAAAAATGTTACATGGGGAAAAAATACGAGGCATTACACTTACTTCTGTAAAACAAGAAAATCCTTAATAAAATATTAGAAAGGAAAAAAACAAAGCTCCCAAATTAATTTCATCTGGGAGCATGAAAACTAGAAGTGCAAAATGTAATGGATAAGATTCTCAACAGCCTTCTGACCAGGAAATAAAGATGGTGGCTTATCAACATTTTAATATGTCTGCCATCTAGGAAGGCTAAAAGCACCAGCCACAAATGCTGTTCTAAGAGGATACTATGTCAATTCATAAAGGCAAAAGAGTATTGCAGGGGACAGGCAACCGTGTGCTATGATATCCATATGCAATAGTATATCCTTTGAATATATGCTATTTTTAATTTGTTTCTAAAGAGACTTGCAATCAGCTTTCTCCAATCAGCCTGAGAATACATAACTGAATATTAAAGAATCACCCTGTTTAACCCAACACATGCCTTTGCAGCTGTTTCATCAGACTTTTTTCTTGTTACACAAAAAGCAAAGGTAGCAGCCACGTGGATGCATAAGGAAAAAATACAAAATCTAGGTTAGGGCAATACCTTTATTAAACCAACCAAAATGTTACCAAGTAGTAACTACACCCATGACTTCAACATTAGACAATCTTTCCCTCCTTCTCCCATCCCCCCGGTTTTGTTGACCATCTGGCCGGATAAAGAGGTTGGGAAGATTCAGAATCATGCACGTTTTTGCAACATTTTGGATTTGGGCACTCACCCAGTCCAAAACTAGGGCTTTGCTGGAACCCCAGTACCTGTGCATATCAGTGGTGGAAAACCAGTAAGCACAAGAGCGCTGCCCCCCCCCAAAAAAAAACCCAAATTTCACTACCAAATGTAAGTTATCAAATTGCCATAATTCATTTCTGCACTGAAAACATTTTCCCTTCCTTAGGTAAAAATTGCACTTGCCAGTATTGATTTAGAGGCTGTTAATCTCATGTATGCCATTTTGGTGATGATCTCATTGAATTGTACCCCTAAGGTATTTTTATTTCTTTCATACGCTCAGTGTCAAAGACATCTGGAGACTGATTCTGCTGTCTCCCTTTTGATGTCTTCCTCCTTAAAAGAAGGAAACATCACTACAAGATGTTTCCTTTGACAAAAATCACTAACCCTTTCTAACAGCCACTGCAGCCTAAACTATGTGTCAGGGAACTGCCATCGGACGGAAGGGAGGTGAAAGGGCTCACACAGGTTGGGAGAGACGCAGCAGCTGAAGAGGAAACCAACAGGGAGGTGAAAGGGCTCACACAGGTTGGGAGAGACGCAGCAGCTGATGAGGGAACCAGCAGGGGAGAGGAGCTGAGCTGGAGGGATGGCTCAGAGACACTTCCAGCGAAAACAGTGGAGAGGTTTCAGGACCTCCTGTAAGAACACCCACTCCTCGCCGGAAACTGTCACGCAGAGATTCCAGAAGACGTGTTTCCGTTAAGGAGCTTTTATGTTGGAAGCGATTACGAAAGCAACCACTGTCGGAATCTGCTAGTGACTAGAGTAGCCATGTCTGAGGGGCTCTGTCACAGACAGAGGTTTGTGGACTTGAACAAACTCTGAGGGGATACGATTTTACGCACAAGCAGCTCATCATCCCATCACAGCATTCCGACAGTCTTTGAAAGCAGCTTGTGCAGGAGAAGGTATCATGAGCAACCCAGCCGGAACCGGAGAAGCAGGAGCTGGAGCGGGTCCAAGCCTGGAAGAAAGGTACCAGATGTTGGAGGTCCAGCTAGCGATGCAGACGGCGAGGCTTGAGGAGAGGAGGGCTCAGGATGCAGACAAAGGGGGGAAAGCCACCCAGTTCGCCAGAAAGGTACCAGGATTGGTGCAGAAGTTTGGGGGGGCGCCCAAAATCTATCATGGTTGTCGGACAGAAATGCAGTATGCCCTCAAGCGGCAGTTTGATGAATTCCTGACGAGGAATCACGAGTGGCTTTCGTGATTGAGCATCTTGAAAAGGGGGCGAGAGACTGGGTTAGACCCCTGATGGCAGCGAATAGTGACGTCTTAAAAGACACGATGAAGTTCTTTCGCGCCATGGATCTGATGTTTTCCAGCGATATTGAAAAGGGAGTGGTGCGCAGACAGTTAATGGGTTGCAAACAGGGGAGCCGATCTGTCCGTGAGTACTGGACTGAGTTCACCATGCTTGTTCACAGATTGGGGTGGGACTTATCGGCGGAACCCATTCAAATGCTCTTGAAGAAGGGCTTTCTTCGGCTGTGAAAGACGAACTTTCCCGGGCGCCCAGGGCGGAGTCTATGGACCAGCTGACCAAATCAGCGCTGGCCATAGGAGCGCGCCAGGAGGCGAGAGCATTGGAGAGGCGGGAAGGGAAAGGGGAACGTTGGAAGGAGTTCCGCATTCCAGACATTCCAGAGCCAACTTTCCCACCGGCAGAGCCGATGGAAATCGGAACAGCGCGCGCGCGCAGTTTCAAAGCCCAGTGAGGGGGCAAAGAAGGAGGGAAAAGGCGCCCGGAAATGCTATCTCTGCCAACAGCCAGGTCACTTTGCCAGAGTCTGCCCCCAGAGGAAAGAATGGCAAGGGATGGTAGGGGCTGTGGATGGAAGAGAGGAAAATATACCGGAGCAAGTAAAAGCCAACGCCTGGCTGCCACTGTCAGGGCACAGCAGCCAGGCCAAAGAGCAGTGAGAGTGCCCACGCCAGAACCTCCTAAACCCGCCCTAGTGATAGAAGTGACGCTAGAGCTGCCAAACGGACACCCTCTAAAGATAAAGGCGCTGTTGGACTCAGGCAGCTCCTGCAATTTCATGAGCAAAGAGTTTGCAGCTGAACACCAGATACAGACAATCCTTTAAGCAGCCCCCTGCAGGTGACCACGATCGATGGCAGGGAGCTGTTGGGTGGAGAAGTCAGCTTGCAGACCGTCCCAATGATAATGAAGGTAGCAAGGCACACCGAACTGATAGCTTTTAATGTGGCCACCTTGGGAGGAGCTCCCATTATATTGGGGATGAGCTGGCTAGCGTTACATGATCCGCTGGTGGGCTGGCATCAGAGAGTGGTTTCTTTTGGTTCAGCACATTGCTTAGAACACTGCAAAGAGGGAAAGGGTTTGGCAGGGGTCCAAGCCACCCTAGCAGGGACTGAAGTAACAGAGAACGTGAAGGTACCACGACAATATGCAGATCTCCGTGACGTCTTCAGCGAAAGGGAAGCTGACCAACTACCCCCGCATAGACCCTTTGACTGTCAAATCAACTTACTCCCTGGAGCACAGCTCCCTGTAGGCAAGCTGTACGCCATGTCAGACAGAGAGATGCAGGAGTTAAGAGAGTTCATTGACAAGAACCTGAAGAGAGGGTTCATCAGAGAGTCCAGGGCGGTGGGGGCAGCCCAGTGTTTTTTGTGGATAAGAAAACACGAACAAGCCGAGGCTGGTGTGTGACTTCAGGGCCTTAAATGCAGTGTCAGAACCAGTAGCCTTCCCTATGCCCAGGATTGACGACATTTTGACAAGGGTGCGGAAGGGAAAGATTTTTACAAAGCTGGACCTAAGGGGGGCGTACAACCTGGTACGAATAAGGAAGGGGGATGAATGGAAAACCACTATGTTCACCCCTTTAGGGGCATTTGAATATTTGGTTATGCCCTTCGGCCTCCAAGCAGGCTCCGCAACCTTTCAATCGTTTATGAACCACGTCCTGGGGCCTTTGCTTTACAAGAATTGTGTGGCCTTTTTAGACGACGTGTTGGTGTATTCTGAGAATGAGGAGCAGCATGTGAGAGACGTCAGAGAAGTGTTGAGCAGGCTGCAAGCCAACCAGCTGTGGGTGAAACTGGAGAAGTGTCAGTTTCATACCAAGGAGGTGGAATTCCTGGGGTATCGCCTGTCAGACAAGGGATTGGCCATGGATCCCGGCAAGGTCCAGGCTGTGCTGGAATGGAAAGCACCCAAAACAAAGAAGGATGTGCAGAGGTTCCTAGGATTTGGGAACTTCTATCGTAAGTTCATCCGAAACTTTGCCCACCTGACGGCGCCCATTACGGACTGTCTCAGCAGTAAGAAGAAGTTCGTGTGGACTGAGGAGGCGGAGCGAGCATTTGAGGAACTAAAAGGGCCTTCGCCTCGGAACAACAACTCCTGCATGTGGATTTACAAAAACCGATGAGAGTGGAAACTGACGCATCAGACAGAGCGATTGGGGCGGTGCTTCTGCAGCCAGGCAAGAAGGGGTCAGAGTGGAGACCGTGTGCCTTTTTTCGCGAAAGCTGAACAAATCCGAGAGGAACTACACGGTGTATGACCGAGAACTACTAGCCATTCATGAGGCGTTCCGGAGATGGAGGCACCTGCTAATTGGCGCACAACATAAGGTGCAAGTGTGCACTGACCACAAGAACCTAGAGTATTGGAGGACGGCACGAGTGCTCAACCAACGGCAAGTGAGATGGGCCCAGGAGTTCTCCAAATTTAACTTTGAGATTAGTTACGTGCCAGGCCCAGAGAACATTAGGGCGGACGCTCTCTCACGCAAACCTGAATATTTGGAAGGGGAGGGGGCACCCGAAGAGAGACATGTCATTCCAGAAGACCGCTGGGTGTGTGGGGCGGCATTGGTGGGACAAAGAGAACTGGTAGAGGAAACAGAGAATGATGAATACGCCCAGAATAAGCTCAGAGGTCTTAGGGGTGATGGAGAGGAACCAGGGGGTTTCGAGGAAAGAAATGGAGCTTTGTATTACAAAGGGGCACTGTATATCCCTGAAGGAGAGTTAAGGGGAGGGTACTCAAGCAGTTGCACGACAGCCCTACGGCGGGGCATTTTGGACAACACAAAACCATGTGGTTGGTCACCAGGGAATTTTGGTGGCCTAAGGTGAGGGAAGATGTACGTGAGTATGTAAGAGGGTGCGAGCAATGCCAGCGAGCCAAAGGGGAAAGGCGGGCGCCGGCGGGGCTATTAGAACCCTTACCAACCCCAGAACGACCTTGGGAGGCAGTGTCGATAGATTTTATGACTGATCTGCCGAAGTCCAAAGGGAAAACAGCCATCATGGTGGTGGTAGACCTACTAACAAAGATGTGCCACTTTGTAGCTTGCTCGCATGCAGTCACGGCGGAAGAGACAGCGAAGTTATTTGTAGAAAACATTTTTAGGTTGCACGGGGTGCCATTGAGGGTGGTCTCAGACCGAGGAAAACAATTTACTTCCAGGTTCTGGAGGAAGCTCATGAGCTTACTGCAGGTGGAGGTCAATTTTTCGACTGCCCGGCACCCTGAAACCAACGGGCAGGCGGAAAGAGCAAACGGTGTCCTCCAGCAATACCTGAGGTGTTATGTCAATGACAGAGAGAATGACTGGGTAGAAAAGTTGGCGCTGGCGGAATTTGCCTACAACAATGCCGAGAATGTGTCCACAGGGATGAGCCCCTTCTTGGCTAATTATGGGTGTCATCCCAGGGCTTTCCCAGGGGGAGAGGGGGAGAGATGGAGCGTCCCGGCAGCCGAGCATTTTGTGGAAGAAATGGAAGCAATCCATCGTCAGCTCCAACTCAACTTAGAAAGGGCGAAGGAAGAATACAAGAGGCAGGCAGACAAGAACCGAAGGGAAGGTGAAACCATAAGGGTGGGAGATAGGGTGTGGCTGTCAACCCAAGGGCTGCCGCTCAAAGGAGGTTGTAAGAAATTAAGACCCAGGAGGTTGGGTCCCTTTGAGGTCATTCAACAGGTCAACCCAGTGGCTTTCAGGCTCCGGTTACCCAACCACATGAAACTGCACCCAGTATTTCACAGGTCGTTACTGTCACCGTACGAAGGGGGACGAGAAGGGCTGGCCACTCGGGAACCGGTCGTAGAAGAAAGAGAATGCAGCAGCCATGTGGCAGAAATCCTCGACGCCAGGTGGAAGGGGGATCAGGTGGAGTATTTGGTAGCGTGGGAAGGAGAACCGGAGTCAGAAAACACTTGGGTAATGGCTGAAGATATCAATGACGAGGTATTGATAGAAACGTTCCATCAAAGGTTCCCAAGGAAACCTCAGCCTGTGGAGAGGTTCCGGAGGGAATACTTTGGGACCACTGATGAAGGGGAGGAGTTGGAAGGATTCCCGGACTCGGAAGGGGAAGGGGAGATGGACTCTGAGGAGGAGGTGTACTTCGAGACCAGGAACCGCAACAGGTTGAGAGAAGTGTTCGAGACATCGGAAGATGAAGGAAGTTCATTCCGGGTTTGCCTCCTCTCCGCCCGTAGAGGAGGGGGCGAGAGGGGGTGATGGGGGCCCTGGAGGGGAGGTGGATGTCAGGGAACTGCCATCGGACGGAAGGGAGGTGAAAGGGCTCACACAGGTTGGGAGAGACGCAGCAGCTGAAGAGGAAACCAACAGGGAGGTGAAAGGGCTCACACAGGTTGGGAGAGACGCAGCAGCTGATGAGGGAACCAGCAGGGGGAGAGGAGCTGAGCTGGAGGGATGGCTCAGAGACACTTCCAGCGAAAACAGTGGAGAGGTTTCAGGACCTCCTGTAAGAACACCCACTCCTCGCCGGAAACTGTCACGCAGAGATTCCAGAAGACGTGTTTCCGTTAAGGAGCTTTTATGTTGGAAGCGATTACGAAAGCAACCACTGTCGGAATCTGCTAGTGACTAGAGTAGCCATGTCTGAGGGGCTCTGTCACAGACAGAGGTTTGTGGACTTGAACAAACTCTGAGGGGATACGATTTTACGCACAAGCAGCTCATCATCCCATCACACTATGTAACCAAATCAAGTGCCGTTTCGTCAGCATGTGGGGCTGTCATTCAAGATGGAAGGCAGGAAGAAATTGGGGACTCTGAAGTTCCTCAACAATATTATTTGTAGAAGTGCTGAAGTAACCAGGCAAGTTTTATTTCCAAGACAAATACTACGTGGCTGATATGCAGATGTCCCAAGCTTATCTTTTGTCTAGTTGTATCCACTCAAATTCCCATAAGGACATAAACATTTCATAATCTTGATGTGCAAGCTATCCAGGCTCGAATAAGAGTGTGTGTATATCACTGAAAGCAATGGACAAATTTCACACTAGAATGTCCAAATTCTACGATTCTGTGAATCTTCACAAATCCCCATCAGGAAGCAAAAATAGGTGCATTAAGTTCACCGTTGGGCTGCCATTCACGGTGGAAGAATCACAAGTTGTGAAGGCCTGAACTAATAGGTTGAGCTGGAGAGGTGAAAAGAATCTGTGCTGCAATCCTGGCTTCTGAGCTATGGAGTGCACTTGGTGGCTTTGGATAAATCACCATCTCACAGGGCAAATTACCGTAGATGCTAAAGACATCATAGTGGTTTAGCCCTTTCCCCACCCTGCCAGGGTCCCCATTAGCAGGGGGGAACTTTGATAATAGGGTGCCCTGAACTTGGACAAATTTGGTGACCTCGCCCCACTAATTATTTCCTATTTTAACAATAATTCCTTTTGGTACAGTTGCTTTTTGTGGATCTTCTCAGTAGGTGCCCACATAAATATAGGATAGTATTATTTTGCGTCCCTTCAACTTGGTGTGCTGTGCAGGAGAACCACCTGCACCTAAATGCGATGCTGGTATTAGGTTCACCCTCCCCAACTGTGATGGCTCTGGAAGCAAAACACAATTTGCAGCCTCTGAGCAGTGGTTTTTATCAGGACTGGCAGGGAAAACAAAAGGCTTAAACATCCTCCCACCCCTAGTCCCAAAACTGCTCAGGCTTCTCTTCGGCTGCCATTTATATAACACAAAAACCTGCATGTCAGTTTACACAAAGTCTAGCTTGGTCCTTAGTGATCATGAACAAGTCGGCACCTCTTGGGGCCTGACTACAAGTTACACAAAGTTCGGGGTAATTTCCGCAAACATTCCCCTCTCAAGCCCCCACCTTTTGGCAGAGAAAACATACAATGAACCCATATAATTTCCCTGCAGGGGGGAAACCCAATGAAGGATGCTTTTTTATTATTTTTTAAGGAAAAATGACACTCCCTTTCCTCCATTCTGATTGAAGTTCCATCAGTTGCTTTTTGCTTTAAAAAATAACTCTGGAGAA